TGATTCATGCAGAGTTGAAACTGAAGCTTTATAGAAGACGTTAATGGTGTTTTTGTTTTATAGCTTTGATAATCTCGAATTCATGTAATTTATCATAATTAAATTGCGCTAATCCATAAGGATTAACGATTTGTATTCTAATAAAATATGGTTATCATATACAACAAAAAACTTTTTTCTCTAAACGGTTTTATAGATGGTGTGTGTGTACGTATATTTTAATATTATATTTTTTTCTATTTTTAAGTTATGTAATCTTGTAATATTTTTAAAATAAAATAATTTTTAAAAATAGAAGAATAAAGTTTTATTATTGTTTTTTCAAATTAGTATATATATATAATATGGATAAAATTTCATTATTCTTTATGAGATTAACTAAAGATGTATCTAGGAAAGAGTATTATTTATCACACATTGGTAATTTTAAAAATAAGTACTCCTATGAATATTATAATTAAAAGTAGTACTAACAAATATAATTCTTTTTCTATTTTCAAGTTATGTGATCTTTTAATGTTTTAAAATTATTCTTAAAATAAAAATAAATATCTTTTGTTAAAATAGAAGAATATAGCTTTATTATTATTTTTCCAAATAAGTATAGATATAATATGAGATTAACTAAAAAAAAAGTGTATCCTAGAAAGAGTATTATTTATGACACATTAGTAATTTTAAAAATAAGTACTCCTACAAATATTACAAATAAAAATAGTAATAATAAATATTGATAACTAAAGATACAATATGGATAAAATTTTAATAATGTAATTAAATATTTTTTTATGGAACTAACTAGAAAAAAGTGTATTTGGAAAGAGTATTATTCATCATACATTAGTAATTTTAAAAAATAACTACTCCTATAAATATTATTAATAAATATATAATACTTATAAATAATAATGAGTACAAATTAATATATCAATAATCTTTACATCCATCTAGAGAACGTAATCACATTAGTTAAATGTAATATTATTATGCTTAATCTTCATGTAGTTTCGGGTTGACGAAGTTATTAGTTTTATATCAATTTTTATCTGTTAACGAGGTAATTAATTAAATTTTAAAACCTAGTTTTATTCGTAAAGTAACAATATTATCACATTAAAAACTTGAGAAATAATCATCCTATTAAATTTATAGAAATTCGAAATACACGTTTTACTAACTAAACGTTCAAGTTATTCATATATTAATGACATGTGTATATAGTCTCTCTCTATTAACTAGTTTATTAACTATAGGGGAAATACACAAGTATCCTTCAACTTATGCCCGAAATTGTAGATACACATTTATACTATACTAAGGTCCTATTATCTTCCTGAACTTATTTTATAATTAATTTTCTACTCTTTTTTGGCCTCGTGGCATTAGCTTGAAAAAAAGTCAATCAGCAAGATAGTGTCAGGTAGGTGAAAAGGGGTAGAAAATTATTAATAAAATAAAATCAAAGGTAATAGGACCTTAGTATAGTACAAGTGTGTCTCTGAGATTTCGAACATATGTTGAGGGAGTATTTGTGCATTATCTCTTAATTGTATGAATACTATTTACTATAATTTTTGGGTTTTCTAGTGTTGTATAATATTATATAATTATTGTCTAAGTATATAATTAAATAAATATTTTATAATATTTTAATTTAGAGTAACTTTTTTTTAATGTCATTATTGCAGTAACGCAATTTTATAAGAATTTTTTGGTATTTCAACTTTCAATTTTTTTAATTTTCACTTATAGTAATTTCAGTAAACTTTCTTTTTAGTAAATATCAATAAATTGGAAGCGGAGAAAATATGTCATTTGCAACACAAAAATTTTGCACTTTCTTAGTTTAATTCATAATTAAAATATTCAATTTAATAATATTTAACATCTACAGTTCACGGTTCATATGTATATTTAATTTAATCATCATATCAAAGTGGGAAGCACTAAATTGCAAATTTGAATAAGTATTTTACCCCTAACATATATTATAATTTTTTAATTAAAAAACTAATTAATTAAATATTAAATATTTCTAAAAAAATTAAATGATCATTCACTAAATTAACATCGTTCCTCTAATAATTCATGCTTAGAAACTAAAGTTATTATGCCGTAATTAATGTTCAAATGCAAAAAAGAAAAAACAAAAACAAATATTTTTTGAGAAATTTTAAATATTATTTTGAAATTTACAAGCAATTTAATATGATTCATGTATTAATAAAAATCAGGTTATTTTAAAAATTTATTAATATTTTCATATATTTAGATCATGATTAATTCGCACTTATATAACTCTTGATTATACACATTGTCTTGTAATTTTTGGATTGTCCGTACATTAGTTATCTATAAAAATGAAAACAATTGTAGTAAATAACATCATTTATTTGAATGTAAAATATAGGGTCACGAATCAAATTATAACATCATGACTCTTTACTAATATACTTGTGTAATGTAACTTGTAAAAATATATTAATTAGATTTTACTTGTCCTTTTTAACAATTAAATTATTGTACTGTATTGATAATAATAGTTATTTAATTTGTTTTTGTGATTTTGTTAGTTACTTATTTATATTTATTTTTCAAAGGGAATATAACATAAAATACATAAAACTACATTTTTATCAATGTTTTTCTTAAGGGGTTTACAAGATTGAAACACATAGACTAATTTAAAGTGGAGAAAGTAACATACAAATAAATTATTAATAACTAATTTAATTCACTGAAGAAATAATGATATATCTTTATTTATTTTTATTCTTCTATCTAATTTTGAGAAAGACAAATTTCAATGTTTCAATTTTTTATACGATTTCATATTTTAAGTTGTATGTCACTCCGTTGATGTTAAATTTTTGTATTCGAAACTCATTTTTTAAAAAAATAATTTAGTAAGGTTCAATATTTGATATGATGCCTTAATAATAATAATAATAATAATAATAATAATAATAATAATAATAAATAATATTGATTATTAACTGTAACCTTCATTTTATTTTAATTAATTCTAACAAGTGCTATCAAATTCTTTTCATTTTTCATCTTTCTTCTTTTTTCTGAACTTTGTGATAATTAACACATGAGATAAGAATATATATATATATATATATTTATTTGTGTTTTTGATTATAGGATTTTAAAGTACTAAATATTTACATTTTTTGTCTCATTTGGAGAAGAAATATTTTGTTGTCATCTATTTTAATTTGTTATTGATATCCAAAAGTATATATATTTTTTGTTTGAAAAATAAACAATATTCATGTAATTGAATTATAATTTTTTTTTAATATAATGCCAATTTAAAACAATTTATGTTTAATTTAATTGAATACACATGTAATGCAAGTGCATAAACTAATAGTACTAATATTAAGGCAATCAACATTGTATCATCTTTTTCTGTCCTACTTCTTTAGAGTTTATTTTCAAGGTTAAATTTCATATTATTAATATTTGCTTCAATTTTTGGAACATGAAGTGATGAATATTTCCAAATTAGCATTTTTGGAGCAAAATTTATTTTTTGCAAATATTAGTATGTGTATGTTATATGTGATATTACTTAAATTACTAAGATAAGATGTTTTTGTTATATTATATACATGATACAACCAGTTCATTCATTTTAAGTAATACTTTTGAATGATCCTTTACTATAATATGGTAAACCCCTCAATTCTAAAATTCATTACATATAAGGTAAAATGTTTATTGTAAGTAAAATAACTATTAACAAAAAAAAAAAAAGGTTTGAATAGTGTGAAATTTAATATTTAAGTAATAAAAAAGAGTAACAATATTTTGCTACAAGAGTTCGATCGTGATTTTACTATACCTAAAATATAGATTACTATATAGCAATGATCATGGAGATATTAACATACCATAACGATATATGACTTTTAAAATCAAACATTATTAGGCTAAGATGAATTGAATTACATTATTAATATTTTTATAGTATAACAAATATTGATTGCCATCCTAAGAATAAAGGACCCTCTTGATAATCTATGCTACAATTAGATATCCTAATATTTAATTTAATTTGATTTGACTTTGATTTTTTTTTTAATAAGATACACATTAATTTTCTAATTTCTATTAATCTTTTCCATTAGCTACCATTCAATAAATTACCATTTATATGTTTAGTTTTGTATTATTAGTAGAAGAAGAAGGTGACAAGTTTGGTGAGATGATGCATCCGTGTAAAGCACATAAGTGATCGAGTTTTTTAGGAAAAAAAAACTTTTAAAATCACTCCACCAAACGCATTTAGCTGCATAAAATATGATTTTTTCAATATATATAACTATGTATTTAAATTTGTATAAAATTAAATAAAATAAATTTAGGTATTTTATGTGACATAATCAAACACCACATATAAATCGTGTAAGATGCGAATCATTAGGTAGAATATCACGTACGATATGTGTATTTCTTTGTTCATATCAATACAAATTTAAATAATCATTCTGTTCCTAATTACTTGTCAACTTTTGAATTGACACACTTATTAAAAGAACTATGATTGATATTGTGAGTTTACCATTTTACCCCTATTAATTATGAAATGAATGAATTAAAAATTTAAGAGTTTCAAGAAGCGTTATTTTTTTTAAAAATAATTAATTGAGGATATAATAGGTAAATCTTTTTGTCATTTCTTGATTTATTAAGACGGAGAAAAGATTAGAAATAACCAAAAAAGAAATTTGAACAAATAATTAAGCACACAAAAAGGAGTATTACTTACTCGTATATATCAAAATTAAAAGACATAAACAATAAATAAAATAAAATATTTATATTTTATACTTTTATAAAATTATAAATAATTTTATTAAATTGAAATCGAAGATTGTGTCAGGTGAATTGAAACTAGAGAAGGTAGTAAATCTGTCAAAATCAGGGGATGCGCTATTATAGGTAAATGGGGTTGGTGGTAGCCCTGCAATTTGTATATTCCCTTTATATAGCAAAGAGTGACCCAATATTATAGGAGCTTTCTTCCATCTCTCTCAAGATCTTGAGTTGGGAGGAGAAAAGAGGCTGAAATTTGCTCAAAATTTGTGTCCTCATCTCCCCTATCTAATTAAAAATTGTGTCTTTACAGCTATTGGCCACCAAATTTCTAAATCCCATTATTGTCGTTTCTTGAATTTCATTCATGTGGCTGTAATTGAAATTCAAGATTCTTTTACTATCAGATTTATCAGGTACACATTAGTCCACCGAGCTTATAACTTTGTTAAAATATGGAAAAAGACTCCACCTTTGATGTACTGATGATAATGGGCATTGAGTGATATCATTTGGGTATCTTTTTTCTTTTATATCAAACCCCTTTTGCTTATTCTTTCTGGGATTTGTTCCTTCATGTCTATCTTGTTGATGTATATGTTTGCTACTGATACACTGCTTTTATGTAGATTTCAGATTGTGGAATTCATTTGGTTGACTTGGTGGACATTCATAACTAGCTAGGGTAAGGCTTATACTTTACCAGTAGAATCTTTTATTAGTATAAAGTGTATACTTTTGTTAAAATTTGGTGAAATTATATACCTTTTTAGGAAACTAGAAGTTGACGTGCTGAAAATGGACATTGAGTGATGTTCATTTGGTATTTTTCACCTTTGTATTTATGTCAGAAATCAGACACCTTTATGTCTATGTTTCTAGTTTTCCTTTGTGGGATTTGTTTCTGTATGTCATATCTTGATGTGCACGTTTGCTTTGTTTGCGTGATTGAGTGTTACATTGCTCAACTGTTAGTTTCAGATTGCATCTAGATCTTGATAAATCGGGGATCCGTCATGTTGGATATTCTTCTTGTATAAAGAGAAATCAGCCAGGTTAAGGCTTAAAATTTGATCATAGTTGTCGTTGTAGTCTTTCTCTAAACCCCTATACCATTGTTTCTATGAATTTCTATGGTTGTGCGAATTGGTTGCTTGTGGCTTAGGACTGCATTTGAACTTTTAGGTGTCTGATGGAATGCACGGTATTGGTTTTTGTTTGTGGTTAGCATAAAGGATTGCCTTTCCACTCTTATGTATTGTGAATTTTTGCATCTAGATTCTGTAATTTCACTTCACTTTCTTGATATAGCTATTTACTTTTGAAGGTAATTGTTTTATGTTTGGAATCTCTATCGAGGGTGGACTATATATAGTTCACTAGAGGGAATTGCCTTCCCGATGACTACTTTTCAGCAGCTTTGATTTCTGAGGCATTTGTGAATAACATGATAGTTAAGTTACGACATGTTTTCTAGTTCTTCTATGTTTGAATTTGATGCTGGAATTAGCTCTCTCGTGGGTAAAACCGTAAAAAAGTGACAACCTTCAGTTAATGGGGTGTCATTTGTCTTGTGGGACTATTATAAGTTGTAAGGGTTGGGATGCTCTCCAAGAGCTCCCTGCTTGGATTCTTTCAAAGCTGGTGAGCGAACATGAGGAGAGCAATTTAGATAAATTCAAGATTCATCAAGCTCAAAACCATAAGAAATCTCTAGAATATCTTCTTCATGGTTTTTTCCTTCCTTAAAACTAATTTGTACCTCGGAGTCTGCTTTGAGCTTGAACTTTAAAGAAATAGAATCAGATTAGTTTATTTCTCTCAAGGTCTTCAATCTCAGTTAGCTTTTAGAATTTCTGCTCTATCTGATGAAGAGTATTATTATCACCACTAGATTTCCAATTTTCTCCTCTTCGAGTACATGTTTTTGGACCTTACGTTTTAATATGTTTATCAAGGAGAAGAAAAGTCGAGAATCAAAGGAAGAGATTCTTGTACATGTCTATTTTTTTTGCTTCTTTGTTTTTGGTTAGGCGGTTATACAGGGAGAAATTTGTGAATCTAGTCCTTCCTTACTATGAATGAGCAAATGATAATGGGATAGTACTGGAGTTCTAACTAGCTGTCTCACTCTTTCCTTTTGTCAAGCGTTGTGTGTAGATAATTTGTAGGCAGAAGCAGTTTGATCACTTTGGTTTTAAACTAGGCGACTTTCATAGGACACCAATGTCAAAATTATCTAGAGAATTAGAGTTAGCATACAAACTTTTGATCTGTTTTTTTTGTCATCTGACATATCAGTTTCTGATTATCAGAGTGCCTCAGGCTGGGAGGTGTAAAATTGTGAATAATATCGTTGAGAAGAACTTTACCTGGATTCTTTTTGGTGCTATTTACTCATAAATTTGTGGTCACTCCACAAACACCCAAGCTGGACTTGTTATTACATCAATGACGCCTAGTGTTGTTTACTATATAGGTTCATGGCTATTGACTGTAAAGATTAATGTTCTTTTTTCCACTGCACCAACTTTTAGCAGAAGCTTTAAGCTTAACTTTGATAATATACTCTTGAGGTCCGCTCCTTCCCAGCAAATCATTCTTTTTCTACAATTGAGAATTGTAAACAGTGAATACAGTAGCTAATAGCTTACATTTAGACTGAGAATTGTTTTTCCCCCTTTTCTTTTTTTCAGATTTTCCAATGGGTGATATAGCCAAGGATTTAACAGCTGGGACTGTAGGTGGTGTAGCACAATTGGTCGTTGGTCACCCTTTTGATACCATAAAGGTCAAGCTTCAAAGCCAGCCTACTCCACTTCCAGGGCAGCTTCCAAAATATTCTGGTGCTATAGATGCTGTCCGGCAAACATTAGCTGCGGAAGGTGCCGGGGGGCTGTTCAAAGGCATGGGAGCCCCACTTGCCACTGTTGCAGCCTTTAATGCTCTGCTCTTCACCGTGAGAGGTCAAACAGAGGCATTCTTGAGGTCTGAACCTGGAGTCCCTCTTACTGTGAGCCAGCAAGTTGTTTGTGGGGCTGTTGCCGGAACTGCTGTCTCTTTTCTTGCTTGCCCAACTGAGCTTATAAAATGCAGGTTTGTTTCTAGTGCATTATAATTCAGCCTTCACAAAGTTTCCCTTGCTTATTTTTGCCATGTTGTATCCTTAGTAGTGACATGTGCATTATCTACTTTTCAACTTTTTGTTACCATTGTTCGGTCAAATGATCAAAACTACTAGGAATCAACTTCTATACTTGTCAATTTACTCGTTAAATTACATGACTGTAGATTGCAAGCTCAGGGTGCATTGGCAAGTGTAGGCTCAGCTGCTGTGGCAGTGAAATATGCAGGGCCAATGGATGTAGCAAGACATGTTCTTCGATCCGAAGGAGGCATGATGGGTCTCTTCAAGGGCTTGTTTCCCACCATGGCACGTGAAATCCCCGGAAATGCTGCTATGTTTGGCATGTATGAAGCACTAAAGCAGTACTTTGCAGGAGGCACAGACACTTCAGGGTTGGGAAGAGGTTCTCTTATTGTAGCAGGTGGCCTGGCTGGTGGTTCCTTCTGGATTTCGGTGTATCCAACAGACGTGATCAAGAGTGTAATCCAAATCGATGACTATAAAAACCCAAAATTCTCTGGCTTTTTTGATGCATTCAAGAAGATCTTGGCATCGGAGGGAGTCAAAGGCCTTTACAAGGGCTTTGGACCTGCTATGGGACGTAGTGTCCCTGCAAATGCTGCATGTTTCTTGGCGTATGAGATGGCTAAGTCTAGTTTGGGATAATTCATTGTTGATGGGGAAGGATTTTAGACATTGTTATTGATAATTCTTTGAACCTAACATCTGCTGATATTCTGTAATTTCCAGTTCAACTTATTCTGCTTTTATAGATTTAGGCCATTTTTTTCTTTGGTGGCTTCAAGAAGCAAATTGTCTTTCAGAAACAAATTCTCTCTTGAAAAAAAAGGGTGTCCTTTCATGGTTGTTGACTAGACGATCCGAGCAATAAAATTTCTCAATTATAACACAAGGTACTGTTTAGATTGAATTATACTATAACAAGGACAGGATGTAAATTAATCATTGAAGTAGTTAGGGAAATGACTATCATAATCATATTTTATATAGTATTTTATGATTGAGCTGATTTAATAAACGCATGCAATACATGAAAGGCTTACGAATGTAGTACTGGACAGCTTTACCTACGACATTTCCTATTCCTACTTTTCATACAAAGAGAATGGGCTTGTGGATTTCATCGATGTATTGTTGTAATATATATTTATATATAAAAAAAATTATTTAAATTACTTTTTTTTCTATTTTTATCATGATAAAAATTAAATTTATTTTTTTAATTAATTAATAGTTTTAAAATTCAAAATAACGGAAATCAACTTGAAAAAGGTCTTCTTATCTCTCTTCGCCCGGCTGAGCTGGGCTATTTGCCTCGCTGTCCTTCGTCGGAAGGTTCTTCTCTCCGCCGTCGACAACAGCCATCTCCGCCGTCTCTGAGCTCTATATAAAATTGAGTCTGCTAAGCGAGATTTTGGCATTCAAATAACTTTCACTAGCCTAAGTTGCTCTTAATCAGGTACTATTGATTTCTCACCTTTTTTCAGATTTCTGTTTCTTTAGGTTAAGATTCTTATAGAATATGTAATAAATAGCTTGGAATGAGCTTTTAAAAGTTCATTTGTTTTGCAGATTGAAGTTTAGGAATTAGAAAACGATGGCGCATAGGTTGCTGAGAGATGCTGAAGCTGATGGATGGGAACGATCTGATTTCCCTATTATATGCGAGTCGTGTCTCGGTGACAGTCCCTATGTGCGAATGGTAAGTTCTTCGTTTCAATTTTTGTTATGGTAAAGGCCGTGAATGGTCCTAGGGTTTATAATAATCTCCAGTCCTTTGGTTGCTGACTACAAATTGAAAATATACTCGAGGAATGTTTTTCTTATTTGCATTGCTCCTATCTGCTATTGAGATTTGAGGTGGAAGGGTAGGAAACTTTATTCGGCGAAGAAGTTGAGAAATTTCTGGTTGTAGTTATAGGTGAATATAGGTGCAAAGAGGCTAGAGTTGATGGAGATTGCAGATTCAAATAGGCAACAGTAAAGTATGTGAATAAGGCGAAGTTGAATGATTGGTTGATTGATATGGTTTTAGGGGAATATAGTAAGGTTACTCTGAATACAACTAGAAGTTCATTTTCAGAATTTTTTAGGTGATTTTTTAAGAATTCATTTATTTCAAGTGCCCCAATTTATTAATACAGTAGGAATGATCAGTAGTTGTAGAAATATATGTGTTTATTGTGCAAAATCAAATAAAGAAGGGGGGGGGGGGGGGCTTTATTGAAGTTTAAAAGGGTAAAGACTGTCATTTCTCAACCTTGAAAGATCACGGAGTCCAATTCCTAATGTAGCGTTCCTTAAGAATGTGAAGTGCGTGAAGAATGTGGCTGGATCCTTTGATGGAGGCAGCAACGTAGTGTTTTATCAAATTTTTAAGTAAGTTGTTTGTCAGATTTGCTCTACAGGAAAGGCTATTAGCCTTTCTGTAAGGACTGTTAATCTCTGGTAGCATTTATTTAATTGCTTATCTTTGTGCTAGCTGCAGTAAACTGTATTTTGAATTCTATTTACGTGTAGCTAGGCAAGACCACTTACATTATAATCATTGTGGCTTTCTGAAGCTCTTTGTTTGGACCTTTACTCATCGACAGCTTCTCCTGATTTGCCACTACTTTTGGCACATTGTTACGATGTTTACTCTCTCCATACATATTAGGAATTAATTTCTTGCTCAAAGAGTCTCCATTTTGGCAGTAGAATAAGTCGGGCCTTTGACTTTGTTTTGGTTTTAGCTGCATGTCCTCTACTATAATCTTTCTTTCTCCAATTTCACTATCTGACTTTTGATTTTGTTATGGTTTTTGTACAGACAAAAGCAGATTATGACAAGGAGTGCAAGATCTGCACGCGACCCTTCACAGTGTTCAGGTGGAGGCCTGGTCGGGATGCGAGATACAAAAAGTCTGAGATCTGTCAGACCTGCAGCAAATTGAAGAATGTTTGTCAAGTTTGCCTGTTAGATCTTGAATATGGTTTGCCTGTTCAGGTCCGAGACACTGCTCTCAGTATCAACTCAAATGATGCCATCCCAAAGAGTGACGTAAATAGAGAATATTTTGCAGAGGAGCATGACCGAAGGGTATGTGATTTACTAAGTGAAAGCCCAACTTATATTTAATTTACTTACCCCACCCCCCACCCCGCCCCACACACCTCCGATCCAAATCTTGCTGGGAACTACTTAGGGATGGGGTGCAGTTTTAAATTAGGAGAAGAAATTGAACCTGGTGAAAATAAGGGCTTAGAATTTTCAAGAAGCACAAAAAAAAAATGCTGTTTTCTTGGTTTTCCCCAAAGTAATACTTAAATTTTTGTCCAGGCAAGGGCTGGTATTGATTATGAATCTTCATATGGAAAAGTCCGTGCAAATGATACTATCATGAAGCTTCAAAGAACAACTCCATACTACAAGAGAAATCGGGCACATGTTTGCAGTTTCTACATACGTGGTCAATGTACAAGAGGTTTGGAGTGTCCTTACCGGCATGAGATGCCTGAAACAGGGGAATTGTCACAGCAAAATATCAAAGACCGTTACTATGGGTATGCCAGTCTGATTCTTTGTCGCTGATGTGAAATTCTCCTTTTTGGAATGATGCTCATATATCTGTATTGACATATTTGTGATAGGGTTTCTGGTCTTTAATTTTGCTTGGGGTGTGAGAATGGCGGTTCACTTTTCTGTTGATATGTTCATGAAGACTTACTAGTCACTTTTTTTAGAAGACTTACTAGTCACTGTAGACACATTATCTGTTTCCCTCAGTTGCAATGCTAATATGGGATGAAGGCCAGCGATTCATGGCCACACAATGTTATATAAAATAGTAAATAATACATCGTTGTGGGATTACACTGGGTATGTTGTTGTATAACTAAATAATACATCAGTTCAGCAAGTAGGAGGAAAAAAGGGGAATTGACCCAGAGATTATGTTCTCATTTATCATGTTAGAAAGGAGAAGCAAAACAACTTAAGTAAAATATATCTCAATGTGGGAAGACAGTATGTGGACTTGGTCAACTGACTCAGGAGGTGAATAGCTTATATTGAGTTGCTTGTTTACCCTCATTGAATTTATAAACAAAAACATATATAAACATGTAAATTTATCTCAGATCTGACATACAAAGTCGTCCTGCTGTCAATATATTATAATCATTTTTTTATAGTTTTGCAGCTAAAAAATGCTTGTGTGAATGTGTGGTGTAATTGCTTTCTACCACTGGTAGTCTTCATTCCCATACTTTATTCCGTGACTTATTCCTTTCTGGTTTCTCAATCCTCTCTGCTTGTGTTTGAGTTATACGTTATTTAAGTATTTTTTTTTTTGGAGTAGAGCCTTGTTTAAATTTCTTTAATGCCATCTTGTTCAAATCCTTGCACTCGATCACCAATGGAAGTCCTAGAAGAAATGTTTTGTGAATGCTTTTTCATGTGATTTAACAGCTTGTTGAGGTTCAAATAATTGCCGAAACTGGCAAGAATGCAGAACCCAGTCATCTCCATGGTTATAGACATAATTAAGTTCAGACACTTAACTCTAGATAGATACCATTTTCTTCATGACCAATGAATTAAATACTCTATGCACTTTTGAAACTCATCTTACTTTGTCTCTCCAAGATTACGTGATGGCTAGGCTGATTATTGATGACATCTATTTGCTGGTCACTTTTCTTTTGCTTATTATATACCCTGTTCTCATTTACAGAGATGTATTTATCCTACATTTTTGACTGACAAAATCTTCACTGATGTATCTTAAATGCTTGCAGAGTCAATGATCCAGTGGCTTTAAAGCTACTTAATAAAGCAGGTGAAATGCCTTCATTGGAGCCCCCTGATGACGAGAGCATTAGAACCCTCTATGTGGGTGGTGTTGATGCAAGAATCACTGAGCAGGACCTTAGGGACCATTTTTATGCACATGGTGAAATTGAGTCCATTAAAATGGTGGTCCAGCGTGGTTGTGCTTTTGTAACTTACACGACTAGAGAAGGTGCGGTGAAGGCAGCTGAGGAACTTGCAAACAAGCTGGTGATAAAGGGCCTGAGACTGAAGCTACTCTGGGGGAGACCTCAAGTTCCCAAGCCAGAGTCCGAGGTCTCTGATGAAGCAAGACAGCAGGCTGCTCTAACTCACAGTGGTTTGTTGCCTAGAGCAGTCGTATCACAGCAGCAGAATCAGCCTCTTCAGCCACCAGGCACTCAGGACCAACCTCCATCCATGCCTTACTTCAACATACCCCCGATGCCTCAGCAAGACAGACCATATTATCCATCAATGGATCCACAAAGGATGGGTGCCGTAATTGCATCCCAGGAAGGGGCATCTAGTTCAACTGCAGGATCTGGTCCTGGTGAAAATAAAATCGGTTCTGATCATCAACAAGGACACCATTATGCATATCCACCTGGAGGGCCACCACCTCCAGGTCAATTTTACCCACCTTATTATCGTCCAGCTTATGGATATATGCCACCACCTCCTCCACCTTATCATCAATATCCTCCTCCACCTTATCAAGCTACTGCACACCCACCACCTAGTGTTCAGCTAGCCGCACATCAGCAGAACCCTCGGCCAGCTGCAGCAGCAACCACGCAGCAGCCTTAATCTGGGCAGTTTTGTCAGACATCTGCTATGGGAAGAAGAATCGACCTTCAATCGCGTAGCCATTTTGAATCAAGTGCCCATTCTGTTTTCCCAGTGGAAAATCTTCGGTGTTAGGTTTCAAGTTTTGATTTGCTTGACTATCATCTCATTTAAACCTTTCACCATTTATGCGAATTGCATTCTGCCCTCATCTCCATGCAGTTTTATGAATTTTACAGTTGTGCTAGGCATATATACATGCGCATTGTGATCTTATCTGCGTTTAT